ATTGTGACATCATGGGGTGATGTGTTCATTGTGACATCATGGGGTGGGGTGATGTGTCCATTGTGACATCATGGGGTGGGGGGGATGTGTTCATTGTGACATCATAGGGTGGGGTGATGTGTCCATTTGACATCATGGGGTGATGTGTCCATTGTGACATCATGGAAAGATCGACGGGTTCATTGTGACATCATGGGGTGGGGTGATGTGTCCATTGTGACATCATGGGATGGGGGGGATGTGTTCATTGTGACATCATGGGGTGGGGTGATGTGTCCATTGTGACATCATGGGATGATGTGTCCATTGTGACATCATGGGGTGATGTGTCCACTGTGACATCACGGAATGGGGCGAAGTTGAACTCTATAACGTTTAAAAATATCTTCTCAAATGTCAAATATCAAAAGCCAAGACATTTCAAACTAAAAATGGAATTTGTAAAACTACACCAATGGACACCAATGGACATTAATTATTACTATTATCATTAATTATTAATGATTTTGTTTAACTGCTTGACATTTCCTTGCCCATTACAGTAAACAAATTCTATTTTTAGCTGCTATATGATTGTACACATCTGAAATTATGAATCTCGGGTCGTATTAGTGACGATGTGTTGGGGGGGGGGGGGGCGTGTTACAACATACAACGGGTTTTAATTTAACGTTGATGTTGATTTGTTCTCAATGGGAGGTGAGGGTTAAGACAACGTGACCTAACAGCAACCCACATTATTTAAGGACGACCGCTATAGCTCGACAGGGCGATATAAGCAACGCTGCATACATTCAGCGTCGCTGAAACTAATTTTAAAGGTCAATATTAAAGTAATTTATTTTTCAAGTTATGTTTATTTTATGTTACGCGTGGGATCGAATCTGTGCATTACATTGAGGGGAGGGTCGATAACAATTGACTGAACTTGCGTGACGTCATTTATGGACCCCCCGCCCCCATATCCCATAGTTACATCCACATTATCCCAGATCTATCTACTCGCTAAACCTCGCTTAATCTAGTCATCCGCCATCGACCGTTCTCTTTTTTTTTTTTGGCGGAACCGCAATAACTGATTACATAACGGCCACTCACTGCGGCGTGTAAGGGCGTGTAAGCAGACCTTATGCACCCCTGCACCCACGAGCTAACACTGCACAGTTCTGCACCTCGGCGCAGTGCTCAGCACTTGACTGAAATAGATTTCATTCACGGCTAGCCGGCGTTATTACGTCACCGTGGCAGACACGTCATAACCAATATTTATTTGCCACCACGGGAGAGAGGGGGGACGGCAGAAGGGGCGGACATTGTCCGGAACATTCGGCTGATTTTGTCACGTAACCTGCAGAAGTCTTCACTAGGCGTTAAACATAGCGTTAACACGTTTTAAAACGGGCGTTAAACTCAGAATAACAGGGGATAGAAGAAGTAACTGAGAGGGTACATTTTCAGGGAGGGACCACTAGTTGTATTTTAGTGTAATCGTTCCAATAAAAGAAAATACACCGGGAGTGATCTCTCCTAAACTTTCTCGAATATTCTTATAGATTACTGCGATGGATGGCAACTCGGGATATAGATCTAGACAAAAATTTTCAACAACTTTTAGTTACCTAAACTTTTTAAAATAGAATAGGATATCGTAGAAAATTGAATCTCGTAGAAAAAAGAATTGTGCACTAAGTGAACGACAAACAAAATGTGCATAATAGTGAGAAATATTATTAGTACTTTATAAATTCACATGCGTTTTTTTATTTTTAGAAATCGGAAATGGCGTAAATTACTACTTCCGGTCAACGGAAATTACTCAAAATTTGACAGAAGGTAGGGGATTAGATATTTTACTTACATGTGAAATTTCATTTATCTATCTGAAATAGTACTCAAGTTATAGGCTTTTGAAAAATTCAAAGTAGAAAAATTACCACTTCCGGTTATCGGGAATCGCTCAAAAGTTCTACGATTTTGATAAAATACTTCTATATGAAATTTCATCAACCCAGCTCTAACGGTACTCAAGTTATCTTGTTTACAGACACACACACAGACACACACACAGACAGACATACACACATACACACAGATATACGGACAAGATTGCAAAAATACGTGTTTCCGACTCAGGGAGGTGTAAAACGTAGAGATTTGTAAAAATCTCAATTTGGTTTTTGCACGATTACAAGACTTTCTCTATACTTCGTATATACGAGAAAGTAAAAATGTGAAAGTAGAATAAATTCCACTTCTGGTTATCGGAAATCGCTGAAAAGTTGATACAGAACTTCAAATTTGATGTAATACTTAAATATGAAATTTCATCAACCTAGCCATAACGGAACTCAAGTTATCGTTTACACACACACACAGACATACGGACAAGATAATAGCGATGGAATATTGTTTTATTTCTGCCAATTAACGTACAATAATAATGTATTGCTGTCGGATATAAACTGTAGAACTATAAGACAATTGTTTTTCGATGATAATCAACTTCCGCGATTTTTTTTATTTTTTAAAAAGAAAAATGGCGACTTCATTAAAATACTACCATCTTTCGTTCTAACATGTCTAAAAAGCGTCAAATCAAGCCTGCAGCCAAAATGTTCGGGTTCGATCTAACCTAACGCTTCTATAAATGTGTATAGACATGTTTTTCTAGCGTTCATCTTTACAGCAAGCGATTTGACGGGAATTTCGTTTGAAGCTGTTTATACTTCTCACAAAGTCGTCAGCATTTTTGTGAGTTTTAAGCGGTGTGGAGAAACAGGGTTTTTAAAGCTGTTTTGACATAAACAAATAGACTGGAAACTTCACACCGAAAACATCAGACCCCAGCATGCACAAAGGTGCTTTTAAAAATATCCAGTATCCCCACCCCCCTACCCCACCCCTGAGAGGAGCGGCTCACTTGTCTAGCACTCCCCAGGAACCTGCATCAACAAGGGCGCAAGACAGCCCAGTTACACGTGGATTCAATCTTCCAGGTAAGGGAGACAATAGGCAAAAAAAAAAAATGAGCATACATACCCCCCACCTTCCCCGTCTTTCTTTTTCCCAACCCAGTACCCGTCCAACACATCGTATCACGGGTCAAGGGTCACGAGAAAATGAGAGGAGGTCGGTGAATTATCCGACAGTTTTATTCACCAGCGTGATGGCGCTCTAAGAGGAACGAAGGATTCTGGGGGATGGTTTTTATGGTTACTTGTGATTGTTTGATAGTTACATATGGTTGGGATGTGTTGTTTTTTACCAGTGATTATGTTTTGGTTATGTCTAATATAAACCTACTATTATAAACCTTTTAAGTGGCTGCTATTAAATGATTGAGCTTCTCTACAAAATGATTGAGATAAAGTGCTGTAAAATGACTGAGTTACTGACAAAAAATGATTGAGTGGCTTCTACGAAATAATTGCATGACTACTACCAAATGAGTCGGCGACTGCTACCCAATGATTGTGTGGCTACTACCAAATGATTGTGTGCTCACTACCATATAACTGTGTGGCTACTACCTAATGATTGTTTGGCTATTACCAAATGATTGTATGGCTACTACCAAATGATTGTGTGGCTACTTCCAAATGATTGTGTGGCTACTACCAAATGATTGTGTGGCTACTACCAAATGATTGTGTGGCTACCACCAAATGCTTGTGTGGCTACCACCAAATGATTGTGTGGTTATCACCAAATGATTGTGTGGCTACTACCCAATGATTGTGTGGCTACCACCAAATGATTGTGTGGCTACCACCAAATGATTGCGTGGCTACTACCAAATGATTGCGTGGCTACTACCAAATGATTGTATCACTACGCTAAGAAAGACGGTCGTGTGAGTGAGTAGTTCGACTGTTGACACACGTGACCCAGTGAGCAATCGGACCGTTCAGCGACCGTTGCAGGAGTCGCCGACCATAAAATCGTGACGTCAGCGTGAGCGGTTCCGTGCGCGATTAGATTACCCCAGCCTGCACGTGCTGCTCACGTATTATGACAGGGTTCATAACTCGCTCTGTCCATTTGTACACGCCAAGCTTTTCAACTTCCAGGCAGTTTTTATTCATTAGTCGGGGTTTTTTTTTTTAATTTGTTCAAGGTCGAAATAAAACAGATGGGGAAGGTGCGGGTAACTCCTGTCTATGTATATACAACAGCTGAAATATAACATGTGGCAACTTCTGTTACGCTTCACTACGCTCCCCCCCCTCCCCCGTCCCTCATAGATTTCTGCGGATCCCATTAACCAACCGGCGAAGATGTAGGTCAGATCGCAGCCATCCCCGTTGCGATATGAAACATGAAGGGAAGTAACCGGTGAATTTGTTGGCCGCGAGTCACTCGTGTCTGAGCGAACTTCAGCGAGGCTGAGCGGGGTAGTCAGCTCAGCTAACGACTGACACACGGCTGACCATCATTCAGTATGGGAGGGACGGGGACGGGGGGGGGGTAATCAAGCTGTCAGCCGTGACGGGTATAGCACTTGGTGAACTTGCAATTCATAAAATAAGGATTTCAAATATATAGCTAAATAATGTGTGTGTGAGTGTATGCATATATATATATATATATATATATGCATATATATATATATATATATATATATATATATATATATATATATATATATATATATATATATATATATATATATATATATATATATATATATATATATATATATATATATATATATATATATACTGCATATCAGGTCCAAATTTATGGATTATTGTATTGTCATCGGGAATAAGAAATTTGCTACGTTTTAATGGGATCGCTCAAGATTGAAGTGTAAAATTAATTGCCAGATTATATTCAAACAGACTGGTAAGAGGATTACAGTAAAGCAAGCTTGTATTAAAGGGAGATGATGGGATTTTTTTTATAAGCAAAATTCACATTATATTTTAATACAAGAAAATGTATTACAAATTTAATAAATGAAAAAAAATCTAGCAAAGAAAGAAAAAAACTCAAACCTTAGTTTAATAATCCGACGTTGTAAGACTTCAGGTCGAGTGAATGCAAGGTTTGATAGCACAGCAGACGATTCAATGAAATAACACGTGAAATAACCGTCCCGATAGACACAATAGGTGCACTGATAACACACCAACCGTGCAGATAGACAGTAGTGTTATTCGACTGGGAAGACTGCACCAACACGACTCGCCACGGAGACAGTCCCTGCACAACTTGTTTTGTGTCTGCTGGTTGTGCTACTGCGGTGCACGTGCTTGAAACACGTTCGAAATCCTAAACAACAGCCGCTCCAGATCTATCGATATTTACCAATCAGCCCAGCGACTGCTAACCTACAAGCTAGCGGTGAGCCAAAGAGTTTACAATCTTTTTTTTTTTTTTGACTCCGCTCACGGAAAGTAACGGCGTGCAAACGGGCTCGCGGCGAGGGTAGGCGCGCGCGGGACTTGTGGCGCGCATTGTTACCCCGCTGGCGGGGCGGGTGGGGGTAGCAACAGATGGAGACGCGAGAAGGCGACTGTTGACGTCAAATTTCACTGTTTGTTGGACGTCGCTGGGTTTCCGCGCGTTCCGATGGTAAAAAAATGATTACAATTTTTTTTTTAACTAGTACGATTTTTATTTCATGGGTTCGAGAAGAAACCCCTTATGACTTTTTTACTTGCTAGTTGAGTAGTTGGATTGGGGTGGGGGGGGGGGGGGGATGAAGGTAGGTCTACCTATTTTAATTTAGAATAGTTGTCTCATAAATCGGGTATTTAGGAGCAAGCCCCGCAAATGTTAATTAGGAGCAATGTCAGGTAGTTAGAGAGGTGTTGGCCATGTAACAGATAGTTAGAGAGGAGCTGGTCATCTAACAGGTAGTTAGAGAGGTGCAGACCATGTAACAGGTAGTTAGAGAGGTGCTGGCCATGTAACAGGTAGTTAGAGAGGAGCTGGCCATGGAACAGGTAGTTAGAGAGGTACTGGCCATGTAACAGGTAGTTAGAGAGGTGCAGGCAATGTAACAGGTAGTTAGAGAGGTGCTGGCCATGTAACAGGTAGTTAGAGAGGTGCAGGTCATGTAACAGGTAGTTAGAGAGGAGCTGGCCATATAACAGGTAGTTAGAGAGGTGCTGGCCATGTAACAGGTAGTTAGAGGTACTGGCCATGTAACAGATAGTTAGAGAGGAGCAAGCCATGTAACAGATAGTTAGAGAGGTGTTGGCCATGTAACAGGTAGTTAGAGAGGTGCAGGCCATATAACAGGTAGTTAGAGAGGTGCTGGCCATGTAACAGGTAGTTAGAGGTACTGGCCATGTAACAGATAGTTAGAGAGGAGCAAGCCATGTAACAGATAGTTAGAGAGGTGTTGGCCATGTAACAGGTAGTTAGAGAGGTGTTGGCCATGTAACAGGTAGTTAGAGAGGTACAGGCCATGTAACAGGTAGTTAGAGAGGTACTGGCCATGTAACAGGTAGTTAGAGAGGTGCTGGCCATGTAACAGTTAGAGAGGTGCTGGCCATGTAACAGGTAGTTAGAGAGGTGCTGGCCATGTAACAGGTAGTTAGAGAGGTGTTGGCCATGTAACAGGTAGTTAGAGAGGTGCTGGCCATGTAACAGGTAGTTAGAGAGGTGCTGGCCATGTAACAGTTAGAGAGGTGCTGGCCATGTAACAGTTAGAGAGGTGCTGGCCATGTAACAGTTAGAGAGGTGCTGGCCATGTAACAGTTAGAGAGGTGCTGGCCATGTAACAGGTAGTTAGAGAGGTGCTGGCCATGTAACAGGTAGTTAGAGAGGTGCTGGCCATGTAACAATTAGAGAGGTGCTGGCCATGTAACAGGTAGTTAGAGAGGTGCTGGCCATGTAACAGTTAGAGAGGTGTTGGCCATGTAACAGGTAGTTAGAGAGGTGCTGGTCATGTAACAAGTAGTTAGAGAGGTGCTGGCCATGTAACAGGTAGTTAGAGAGGTGCTGGCCATGTAACAGTTAGAGAGGTGCTGGCCATGTAACAGTTAGAGAGGTGCTGGCCATGTAACAGGTAGTTAGAGAGGTGCTGGCCATGTAACAGGTAGTTAGAGAGGTGCTGGCCATGTAACAGGTAGTTAGAGAGGTGCTGGCCATGTAACAGTTAGAGAGGTGCTGGCCATGTAACAGGTAATTAGAGAGGTGCTGGCCATGTAACAGGTAATTAGAGAGGTGTAGCCCGTAGTCTCTGTCCTTAGGTGCACAATGAAAGGTCGGTAAAACATTCAACTTCTATTTCTCTTCGACAAGCATATCACTTCCCGTTGAGCAAAAGAATGATAAACACAAATTAACGTATGGCTAACATATTTTTTCCTTATCTCTGTTAGTTTTGATGTCTACATCAGCTTTTCATCACATCTACGTTAGACGTTTTCACAACTCTCATGTTGTTTGCCGGGTGGGAGGGGTGGTGGGTCACTACCAGGCGGTTGAGTATAAAAGTTCCCCTGTAGCTACAAACGAAATGATGCCATACAGCGATAAGCTCTAAGCTCAGCCCAGCGACAGCCCATAACACAACATGGCGTCTGCTGAATATCTGATGGGCAGGTAGTAGTTGCGACTTTGTTTTGTTTTTCACGGTCTTGATCGACGGGAAATATTTTCCTGACGACATGGACTGGGGTGGTAAATTCCTGACTGAATGGAACTCATGAATAAATGATATAAATCATGTCAGCCAGCTGACAGCTGAAACATTGTGTACGGCTAGATTGACAGTCTGTAACGCCGGATATAAAACGGTTGAAGGTCTGTAGCGCCGGATATAAAACGGTTGACAGTCTGTAGCGCCGGATATAAAACGGTTGAAGGTCTGTAGCCCAATATAAAACGGTTGACAGTTTTGTAGCGCCGGATATAAAACGGTTGAAGGTCTGTAGCCCAATATAAAACGGTTGAAGGTCTGTAGCGCCGGATATAAAACGGTTGAAGGTCTGTAGCGCTGGATATAAAACGGTTGAAGGTCTGTAGCCCAATATAAAACGGTTGACAGTCTGTAGCGCCGGATATAAAACGGTTGAAGGTCTGTAGCCCAATATAAAACGGTTGAAGGTCTGTAGCCCAATATAAAACGGTTGAAGGTCTGTTGCGCCGGATATAAAACGGTTGACAGTCTGTAGCGCCGGATATAAAACGGTTGAAGGTCTGTAGCCCAATATAAAACGGTTGACAGTCTGTAGCGCCGGATATAAAACGGTTGACAGTCTGTAGCGCCGGATATAAAACGGTTGAAGTGAAGGTTTGTAAATAAAACGGATTGTACAGCGACGGCGTAGCACATTCCCGAAGCACGTCAACCGCTACCCCCCCTCCACACACACACACACACACGCACTAACACACACCCCGAGCGAAATAGAGTTTATATACCAAACATATACTTTAATCAATGACCGCACTCTCACCTCGGAAATTGAAGTCCACGTCCCCATCCCCATCCCCCACTTCGCGGAGAAAAATGTCTAAAATAAACACTGGTCATTTTACGCCCCTAAAATGACGTCACAAAACGGCCATTTTACACCGCAATAAATGCTGACGTCATAAAACCCCTTTTACGCCATTACACTTATGTCACGACTTTGTCCCAGCCCCGCGATCTTTCCTCCATTCCCTCCCCACCCCCCCCCCCCCTCCCAAGGGACTTTATGTTGTTAAAGCCAGCTCAGCATGTAGGCTACATTATAAACCCCCTCCCTGCCACTCTCCGTCCCACATGCGGTACGTCGTCACAAAGATAGATGACGTCAATAAAACAGGGAATTTTGAGCAATAAATATAACGACTACATAAATATAACGACCACACACAATAAATACAACCACCACATAAATATAACGACCACACACAATATATATATATAATGACCACACCACCGACCACAGTTCTTGTAAATCTAGCGGGACTACGTGGTTGGGTGTTAGTGATTACGACTGCTTACCCTAAAGTATCAGATTCGATTCCAGGCTTGAGTCCGAAGAACCGCCCAGATACAACCCAGCTCTAATGGGTACCTGCCTCATGTTAGGGAAGCGAAGGAGGCTGGGCATAGTAGTGACCACATTATCCCCGTGTTTGCCGATTTCATTAAAACAGATCAGTACATATTTTGTTACAGCCTTTACAAATCAACTCAGGTACAGCTAACTATTGACACTTTCGTCGTTGTTGTTTTTTTTTTAAACGCTATTCTATTTTTATTTTCATTAAAGAAATTATCATTTTCTGCTTCACTCCCCTCTATGGAAACTATTTATAGCTCAGATCGTGGCGAGCAAGGGTAGCATTAATAAACCACGTGTATGATGCGTACGGCAGTCGAGATTTTGTACTGCTAAAAATTTGGCACGGCAAGACCATAAAATCAAATGGATATCTTTTCCACTTCGTCAGCTCAAGCACGTGAGGAGACAATCTAAAATAAAATACACTTCCCTCACATCATCGCCCCATTCAAGTATAACATTATCCCCCCTTAAACTACGCCATTGATAAAATATTATTATATATTTTTTATGTAAAGAAGGATGGGGGTGAGTTAATGTGATCAGGGGAGGTAAATCTTGGCAAGAAACCTAAAGACACACGTATCAACGGTTAGATGGCTGCCAAACATTAACCCCGAATAGCAGAGTGTGAAGGAGGCGCTAGTCTAGAGGGTGCTGAAAGGTTCGGGATAATTCTGCTCGCTCGAGCTGGTCTGAGAATCAGGAATATAATAAAAGCCAGCTGATAGAGGGGAGAGTAAAGCTATCTCTCTACTCGTGTAGCTTGGGTTAGTAATCATAGCTTAGAGCCAGGGCTGGCGCTACCTATAAGGCGAACTAGGCGGCCGCCTAGGGCGCCATCCCTTGGGGGGGGGGGGGGGCGCAAAATGTTTAATCGATATTATCAAAAAGTACCTAACAATTAAAAAACTTTTATAAATGAGTAGCGATCTATTGGCAGAACCTAGGACGAACTATTAATTTTGCACTCCCACCCCAAAATTAGGTCTATATAGGCCTATATTTATTCGCGATGGTGAAACTGCAACCCTACATCCCTAATTTGAAAAGGTCGGGGCGCTTTATAATTTGGTGTCACATAATTGATGTAGAAAACAATTAAATAACTTCGTTATTTAAATTCGAATATTTCAAACGGTTATTTAATTTTAATAGGGCTTGTAAGTCTCATTTTCTCTGACTTTGAATTAGAAATCTGTCCTGGTGTACATAGTTTTGTAATGACGGGGTGTTCAAAGTATTGTACTTGTTTGGTAAGTTTTGATGAATCGTTGAGATTTGGGAGTAACGGCGGACGGTTGATATGGTTTCGTAGGTATAAAGTATCGAAGTGTTA